AACAAAATTAAAATAAAAAGAAATATTCGTTTGAATTAATCAGGATTATTAGCAGATTAATTTGTACGTTTTAGGATGCAACTAAAATACATTTTTTGGAATTGAATGAGGTGGAATGGATGATTCCATTAATTCCACATTTTTTTTTACGAGTTGTTATAAATGAAACGGAATGGCTATTCCATCCATTCCAAAATGTATCTTAAGGAGTTATGAACAAAATTAAAATAAAAAGAAATATTCGTTTGAATTAATCAGGATTATTAGCAGTTTGAATTAATCAGGATTATTAGCAGATTAATTTGTACGTCTTAGGATGCAACTAAAATACATTTTTTGGAATGGAATGAGGTGGAATGGATGATTCCATTAATTCCACCATTTCTTTTACCAGTTGTTATAAATGAAACAGAATGGATATTCCATCCATTCCAAAATGTATCTTAAGGAGTTATAAACAAAATTAAAATAAAAAGAAATATTCGTTTGAATTAATCAGGATTATTAGCAGATTAATTTGTACGTCTTAGGGTGCAACTGAAATATATTTTTTTGGAATGGAATGAGGTGGAATGGATGATTCCATTAATTCCACAATTTTTTTTACCAGTTGTTATAAATGAAACGGAATGGCTATTCCATCTATTCCAAAAGGAATTGAATAAAATATAAAGAGAGTTATTCCAAAACAAAATTGTTCATGAATGAAAGGAATGAATTCCATTCCATTTTTGCTGTATTCCATTTATTTTTATTCCATTTATTTTTATTCCACTAATTCCATTTTAATTTACCAGTTACAGCCTTATTATAATGGTATTCTGGGAGTTCCCGTCCCGTACAGTAAGTTGCTCTTAGTCCCGTACAGTAAGTTGCTCTTATCTTTGTTGATTGATAGGAATCTTTCAGTTTTATTTTTGAGATTGACATAATAGCTCAAACCTGAAAAGGCTATCAGGACAAGTGAGTGGAGTGCATCTAATGATTAACCAAAGAAGAATTGGATCACAAACAAGAAGAATAATTTTTATCTTTTATGGAAATTTGATTTAAAGGGAGAAAATCATTTTCTAGGTTTTGTTTCCATGCAGACTAGTTAAACCATACCGAAATGTACACAACCACTTACAAAGACCATGCATGAAGTACTCAACATCGAATAAAAAGTTTCTGCAATCTACTGAACATTAAGGTTCATCGAGTAAGCCACAAAAGTTTTTTAAAAGTGAAGAAAAGTCATTTAAATTAAAACTTTCAGAGTGGTCACAACTTCAACACGGTAATTAATTTCTCCTTATCTTCTATGTCCGACACATCTTTGTCATTCAAACTCCAAATCAAGCTTCTCCACGCCCATGCTTCGCTCCATGGAGTCTTTCTTCTTGGTTAAGGGAGTATTCCCTGATCGTTGATTCTATAGTTTCCAACAACCGATCATCGTACTTGCTTACTTTGTCCCTGAACGCAAGTTTAAACACATTATCAAACCCGTTTCAGTATTTAAAAAGTTTTTTGGAAGCAAAAAAAAAAAAAAAACTTACTCCCCAATGCCATCGATCTCGAGGAGTTCCTCTTTGTTTCTCGGAATCTTTTTACTTATCTTCTGAAGCATTGGATTGCTACCACCCATAAACACAATTATTTTTGTATGGGCATGCATTAATCAAATTACTTGAGAGAGATAAATGGAAAATAACCAAATAAAGATAAGGTTTTCAAGACTTACGTGAATATAATGAATCTATTTAACTTCAACACATGCAAATGACCAAGGCTCATGAATTGCTCAAAACACTTACCTGACACATACTTTTGCTAGAAGGATGAGAGTCACATAGCTTCGGTCTCTTGTTGCTTTGACATGCTGACTTGTCATTAGATTCATGAAGAATACGCCTCTTCGGGTATGCTTCATTACAGCTCTCGAGTATTGTTTCTAGTTGCAGCTCTACATCACCTATATATATATATATATATAACCCCTCTATGATAAGCATTCAAGTTCATCATGTCAAAACAAAGTTAGGACAAAAAAGGGAAAGTATATATACCTTTGATGTTCTTGATGCGTTCATCGCATTTAGCAATCTCGTCTTCTATTGACCGCTGTTCAAGAGTCTACATGCACGCATCCACAAATAGGAAGAGATAAACACTTAGGCGGCTTAAAAGAAGAATGTGAATCTTTGGTCAAAGTCTAGAGTTCTTACAAGCTTATCTCGTTTGCAAAGAAGAATTTTCAATGCAGTTTCGGAGAGTGATGTTGCTCTAGAAAGAAGAGTCTTCCATAGCCCCTCAGGGTTTACATTAGCGTGAGGGGCAGAAACAGAATCTGGCAAGCTATTATGTGTCATCTTCTTGCTTACAGGAGCTTAGCCGGGGAAGTGAAACCTTACTAGTATAAGAAGAGAGCAGAAGATGACGGTCAAATTCCCTTTTCTTGTTTAGATAATGATGGAAATTGGAAAAGGTACCAATCATTTACATATGTTTTTACTGTAATTTAATTTCTCTTTTAGGGTATTTTTGAAGAGTGGTATTAATATCTCAAATCTAACAGGGAACCAAAATTTACAAATAATGGAGTGGTATTAATATTTCAAATATCTGAAACTGAAAAATCGAACCGAAAATCTTATAATATCCAAACATATAAAATATTAATTATATACTTAAAAATACTTTTAGTTTTAAATTTTATAATTATCTGAAAAATTAACGTGTCAGAATAACTTTTATCTAAAATATTTAAATTTCTCCAAATGATATTTAAATGATTTATGTTTGCTCTTGTCTTTAAAATATTTAAATTATTTATGTTTTCTTAGAGATTCCAGAAGTGATTGATAGATAAGAGTCTTTCAATTTGATTTTGAGATTTGACATAACAGCCTAACAGCCGAAATGGCTATGATGAATTTTTGTTTTTTCCAAGAGTCTTTGAGCGTAGTAAAGGTTTTTTTTTTTTGAAATTGCTTCGTAAAGTTATTTCATTTGAGTTGTAAATCTACTGACTTTTCAGTTGAGCTAAGCCAAGATACAACCATAAAACAACCACAAGACTGGTTTCAATCTCCAATTCATACAACAGAGAACAGTACACACAGCTCACGAAATTTAAAAAAAAATCAATCAACAACACTTCACATCAACGGTATAAAGAAAACAAAGAAGACTGCTTCTGTTCTTGGTCGGTCAGATTAAACAAATGCTTCTCTTGATGATACAACATTTTTTTTGTTCATCACACAACATACAAATGGAATGAATCAAATCATAGTTGCTTCCAACAAGAGCCAATATGTGACTAATTGTATATATGAAGCACATGATTACACGTGATAATATATATAAATATTATGCCGTGTGTGTCTATATATATAACATATATGCAAGATTTTAGGTAATGTACCAGGGTTTAACATCCAGCTGCTTTCAAGAACTTATCGTAGGGGCTTGAAGGCGGTAACCGAAAAGAGTTTTGTTCCACTTCACGTGAGCAGGATCTGAGCAGGCCTTGAGGTTGGACTTGTGCCACAGTGAGTGCCTTCTGATCATCTTCATCAGCTTCTTCTGTCTGCAACATATAAAACAAAAACGAAGTTTAAAAGTTGATGAGAGGACAATTAGTTTCAAACAGAACAGAGAAACAAACTCTCTCACTCTCACCTCCTTGAGAAGAAAGAGTTCCTCCTTTTGATCATCTTCTGAGAAAGTTATAGCTTTGACTGCTTGAAGTTTGAAACTTCGAAGCACAGACATCTTTTGCTGCTTACCCGTCACAAGAGCTTCGCATTGATTCATCATCTGGTCATAAGGTACAGGAAGGGAGGAAACAGAGAAACTTGCAACTTGCCTAGCAGTTTCTGATACCTACACATCACCAAATGAAACAAAATTCATAAGAGAAAACCAATATATGAAATACTGAGTGTATGTATATTACCGATTCTAGCAACTCGTTGATACTCAGAACATCTACAGGGTTAGTGTTTGTGGACAAGGACGTCCTGTGACTCCCACTAGCCCCCGGTGAATTCCCTTCAAATGCAGCTATTTCTGAAAGCTCAACCTGATGAATAAATGCAATTTCAGTAAGGAACTCACTCACACATGAAGCCAGTTTGTGTAATGGAGTGTCACTATACCTCTTCAAAAGCTGGAAGTTCTATTTGGTTAAGAGGAGAACTAGATCCTGGTGTATCCATGAACAACGGTGCACCAAGCAGGTGTGCATCATCTCGTGAAAAATCTGACTCAATTTCATTCTTCAAATTTGATTGCTCCTCCTAAGAGATTTACACACCAAACACAGCATTAGGAAAATATCTTAACTGCTAAAAGACCAGTAAGTAAATTCATTGTCTCTTTATAATCATTACAGCTTCATCTGCTAATTTGGACTTTGGATATAAGATCAAACATAACTTCCACCAACAATAACAGAACCATCATGAATGTATACAAAATCGATAATATTAAACAAGATGAGTACCTCGGATAATGTCTGAAATTTCGATGTAAAGTGAGTGATAACGATTTCCTTAAGGCGACTATCATTTTCCACAAGCGTTGACAAGTTGAGAGCAGCAGAGTCATCTTTATCAGATCCATATGCTACCACTTCTTCGTCTTGTGGAAATCCAGAACAACCAGCACGTAGTTTGATATCTCCTTCCAGTCTAAGATAAGGATCAACCTATCCAGGACATGAAAGAATTGCACATAGAGATTAGAAGACAGCTGAGCACCCAAAAGAGATTTAGAAGAAGAAGAAGAAGAAAAAAAACAGATGCAATATATAGCAAAAGCTAACCATTTGGGCAGTTAAAGATTCTTTGACAACTGGAATTAGCTCAGGTATATTGCAAATCTTGGCACTGAAAATGAGCAAATATGATGCAAACGTGAAGATTGATCTTCTACGAGAGAGTTGCCAACCTCCTTCAGAATCATACCAGAAATACATGTCAGAGTTGCATTATAAATAGATGTAAAAAGCATTGATCATAGTATTTTACATACCATCTTGGTTCAATGAGAGATTCCGAAGAGACAACGCAAGCTGAAAACACCGCACCAGTGCCATGTGATTTGATTTCTGCCATTTGCAATCACCAAATCAGGAAAAACAAATTCAAAAAAGGAGGATCCATCAAGTACACCAAGTTCATACCATTAAAGCATGTATACGTCCTGTATAATCTTTTTAACTTAGCATAAGATACGTAGACTAACCTTTGCTAGTGAAAACAAAATAGTGGTATTAAACGTGCTGGCCATTGCCTCAAAATTTGCAGGGGTGTTCTCAGTAGAAGTTGCTTGGATCCATAGTGATGTAAGGAGCATATTTACTTGGTGACTACTCAGTCGGAGTGAACATAACGACTGCAAAAGCATGAAATAACACTATAATCAGCTCACTCTCAAATACACTTAGGCGGCACAAACACAGATTTAGATAATTCATACCTTTATACCACCATCCTTTAAGCTATCCAATGACTGACAACTAAGACTTGGATGAGATATGTGGATTACATCTTTACGCAGATCATTGTCTAAGGATTCCTCAACTTTATCTCCCTCTTCCTCCTGTAAACTGATACTCTGGCTCCTTGCTGTTTTACTTCCATCAAATGAGGTTTCCTTATGTTGGTCTGACCAAGGTAAAAGAAGAGTTCTAAGAAGCAGAACTGAGAATATACTGTGTGTCTCAACTCTAGTTTCATAATCTGTGTGGGACATCGCAAGGAGCAGTTGGTGGAACAAAGCATCCGGAAATACCTGGGACAGTCCACAGTAACTTCGTTAGAACAGAATAGTTACTGCAATAGTCAAATAATGCATTAAAAAAATCTCACTTTCTTGTGGTAAGAGACATTTGGGACCACCGATATTATATGTGCAGCATGGAGAATGGCTGATGCTGTGGTCCTAGCAACTAGTACATTAATGGATATCATCTCAAGAACCACCGCCAACATGTCAAGGATGGGCCCTGCATCCCCAACCTAAAGGCAAAACAAAAATTGAACAAAAAGTTATGGGATTGTGTATGAAACATACTTGTGAAGAGGGTATGATCAAAAACACAGAAACAGCAAAACTAACCTTTTTTGAGAGCTCAGCGATGCAGTTTTCTAACGCATGCTGCAGGTCAGAGTTCTGCTTCGATTCATCAGCAGACAGATTTGACTCAGCTGCATTTTGCAGGCATTTCCTCAAGTGCTTAATCAACTCAGCTATTACAGCAGTCATGGCTCCTGAAGCTTGCTGCTTAGCATGTAGCGCAAGGCATGTAGCTACATTAACCATGTTAACTTGCATTCCTTGTTGCTTCACTACATTCTTATGATCCAAGTGCTTGATCAGAGAAGATACCAGCACATGACAATTTTCTCCTGCTTAAACAACTTCTTTAATCAGTCACCTCATAGACAATTTAAAAATCAGGAAAGATAGCAACTTAAAAATACCATCTCTAACCTGATTCTTCCAGACGAGACTGTAGAAACAATAAAACAGAAGAGGCAACGCCCTTCTCTGGAGACCAGTAATTCCCACTGTCAAAAGCATTCAAAAGCGGTTCCAGAACACGACGAATAGTTGTAGTTTCCTTTGCTAATTTGGCTATATTGCAAAGGCAAACCATCGACCAGTATGAAGGGCTCTTCGAAATGTCCCTAAATGGATTTAATGAATAAATCAAATAATAAATACATGATGCATTTCAAGTGACACTAAAGTTCTGTGAAGCCTTACATGTTTTCCAACTTATAGTCAGTCACAGGATTAGATTTGAAAGAAACCATTTTACTCATGTTGGTATCTTCTTGGCCTTTCTCCAAGTCCATATAATTCTCCAGAATCACAGAAATAATCTAATTCAGGATGAAAACAAAAAGTTAATAATTTAACTACAACGCACCAGCACTTGTACAGGTAATAGAAAACCAATGACTCACCATATCCAAGTCCATTGATAGTTGGGAATGCTCACCAATAAAAGATACCTGGCAATAACAATTTGTTAGTAGCAAAAATAATCTGGTAACTTGTTGCACATATCCAACTTTATAAGATATGTTTTGACATTACCATGAATGCCAAAGCCTGCATCCCAGCTGACCGTAGTCCGAGTGATCTTTCATCATCCCCCATTTCTTCAGCAAGTTGACAAAGCTTATGGATTAGACCTTCTAAGTTGAACATGTGCGAATTCTCAGTCTGTATTTAAACAAATGCGTTACCATATGACATTTTTGTAGTCCTAGCTAGACAAGTAGCTACTGCTCAATGTTACCTGTAAGCTTATAAAGTCAACAAGGGTATTGCAACCCAAGATCTGCACTTCTTCATCCCTTGTTTGCTCCAAAAGAGTTCGGACAACGGTTAGCAAACTACATGAAAATAGAGGCCTAGAAGCAGAAAAAAAAAAGTTCAGTATCAAATGATAAACTATAAGCAAGTAGAAGATGCCACACACTACGTTTATCCTGAGGAAACTACTACTTACATCTGCTCCTTACATGATGAAAGCAACTTCTTGTAAATGCACAAGACGACTTTAACTGATCCGATATTTCCATTTCTCAATTCTTTGTAGCATTTTTGCTCAAGGTACTCTGTAATCTGTCAAAAAAGCGAAGAAGACATGAGAATAAAACTAAGAGAAGTATGGTGAGCAAGTACACAAACATGCAACAACCTTTGGGATTCGTAAAGGGTTCCTTGACGCATACTCACAAAGCTTGCCAATTTTTCTATCATTTGGCTCAGCATCCTGCCAAATCAAAACATGTTGAAACTTTAAATATCCTGTGTAGCAAAACCCATTAAACTTTGGACTTACAATTAATAGTAGATTCAATCCGAATTGAAAGTAAAAGGTCATATTGGCGATAGTGAACCAACAAGTATAAAACTTCAACAAGACTACCCTCTAAAATAATCACTAAACATAAAGAAAAAAAACACTTAATAATCTAGATGCTCTTCATTAGCACCCAAAAAAAAGAAACTTTCACTAAAACTTAACAAGTGGTATAAAACTTCAACAAGACTACATGATCTTCATTGGTACCAAAAGAGGAAACTTTGAGAAGATTGATTGCTATAAAAAAGAGTTGACCTGATTACGAGGGAAGATCTCAGCAAGCATCTTCTTGTAACGTTTAACAGGATGCCTAGACCTGGGACGCAAGGAAGGGCAGAAGAAACAGAGGTTACCACAGGCGGGTAAAACCCGTCTGGACATAACCCCCATTGTCTTCTAAAATCCTCTTCTCCCCTCCAAGCAGTAAAGCGATTCTGGATGAAAACCCTTAATTCAGTATACACCTAAAACCCAGATCGCACCCTGAGAAAAAGGGGGAAAATTTATAATTGGAATTCACAGAAAAGGAAACAAATTTAAACAATAAATTCATCAGAAAAAAAAAGAGAGAGAAAGAGATCAAAGATTTTACAGAGGAAGATGAGGAGAGAGAGGCAGCTGGAGAGAAAGAAAGGAAAAAAAAATCTAATCCAGGTCGCCTGCTCAGAGGTGGCATCGTTCTTCTCTGGTCTCTTTATCATTATTACTTAATCTCATTATTAAAAATCTTTTCTCTCTCTTTCTCTCTCTCTTTCCGCCATTAATGTCGGAAAGTGTCAGTCCCAAAAAAACAGTGTAATTTACGAAACTACCCTTTGAAATATCTTTGTCTTGATCAGACAGAGCTTATGCTTTGGTCCGAGCGATATACGGTCCGGGTTTGGATTTTGGAAGCTTCTTGTCGGACCGTGACCACTAATGGGCTACGAGTATCGGCCCATATAAAAATAGCTACCACACTATACAAGCCTTTGTAATAATACATGATCAGTGATGATGGTTTTGGGCCATGAAGCAATTGAATGATGACTGATTTAGTTTGTATAATATTACAGTGATTGAAATTACAAAAGCCCGTATAGCTCAGTGGTAGAGCGTCAGTCTTGTAAACTGAAGGTCCGTAGTTCGATCCTGCGTGTGGGCACTTTTTAAATTCAATATTTTTTTCCGACTTTTCTAGTCAAATAGAAAAACAAAACAGTTTAGTGAATCTATTTAAGGGTGGGCGCAAGGCGAGTACTTGCTATTTTGCATGTACTCGCGACTTGACTTGCCTTGTACGAATAATAAAATTTTCGACTTGTACTTGACTTGTTTAAAACGAGTACTTACTATTTCGAATACTTGATGAAAAATAAACGACTTACAAGTTACTTGCCTTGCTCTATTACTTACTATTTACGAGTACTTGTGCACTATATACGAGCTTTTTCGTAATATTTAATAACTACTAACTAAATAATATTCTGTTAGAAATAGACATGAAAATTTGTTTTGTTTATTTTACTTAAAGTAACATGTAAATTACTTTAAATAGAATATTTGTTCATATTATAAAAAAGATAAATTAAAAAATGCATATTACGGTATATAAACATTGTATAATGATCACGATAACAAAAATATCTTCTCTAGATAAGTAACAAGTAATAACAAATCATATTACTAAATTTTTAATATTTGTTGCTGTGTAATACTTGACTAGATAACGACGAGTATTCAAAGATCAAGATTGGATACAAAATAAGTAACAAATATAAGATGAGTAGTGTGTATTTATGTCTAGTCCTAAATGCAAGTAAAAGAAAAGACAAATATGAAAAACTAATTAATAGATTATGTAACAAATAGCAAGTAATGGAACAAGTAGCGGGGCGGAACGAGTCAAATACAAAATATAATAATGATACTTGATACTTGACTTAGTCTTGCAAGTAATTAAAATTGTCGCCTTGTTACTTGCCTTGACAACACCGAGTACTTGAATTTTTAAGGCGGGTACGAGTCAAATACCGAGTTTAAGGCGAGTAACGAGTAACGATGCCCAGCCCTAAATCTATTCCACTTGTTTTTTTAAAGATCGCTATTTGGATTGTTTAACCAAAACAAGAATTTTTTTGATACATTTCTATTGTGAGCACACTTTGACTACCCATAGTGGTTCACCACTCCCTTGGGTTTTAGTTCTTTTCCTAGCTGTCTTTTTCTTCAAGGAAATGTTAATTACATTGAATATAATTTAGTATTGTACCTTTTAAAGCTAGTTAGTATATTTATTGATTGAATATTGATGGAAGTAAAAATGTTTGGATTTAAACGTGCAACCAATCTCCTCTAAGGTGGAGAGAAGGTACTCCATACTTGCCAACCATTTACAATCTTACTATCTTATAGTATCAAACATATGTTTGCTTTAGAAATGTCTTTTTGAGAATAGCTAAATTATTCTTAATTAATTGTTGTGGCTGCCCTTTTTAAAATTGTGATTAGTCTTTACTGTTACATCAAATTCAATATATCGCATTTTGCTTATAATCATTGTTCACACTCGTAATTCCACAATGTGAATCCTACGCTTTATGTCGTATTTTGAAATAATATGTAGACTTTAACTAATATGTCGTATCCATGATATAATGTGTTTTCGTCACAAAATAGCACTTGCATTTATACGCATAGTCGCATAGAGAGACATGGAGCCGATAACGTGAAAGCTGACTCAACTTCCCCCTTACTGTTCCTTGTTTATTTGTTTGGCAATGAATTTATTGCATTCCCAATTAAATAAAACTTATAATAAAAGATTCCAGAAAGTCATGGAGTTGTATCCTTTTAAACCCCCTCGACAATTTCTCTCAAACAATAATACATCAACCAAAAGGAAAATATTCCCTCTTCGTATCTCTATTTTTGGCCAAGTAATGTATCTCATTGCATCTCTCTGACTTCTTTAACTCCTATCTCTTTTCTTCTTACACACGCAACCCTACAAAGCTAGAGAAAAAATGGATCCAACGGAGCTCAAGCGTGTGTTCCAAATGTTTGACAAGAACGGAGACGGTTCAATCACGACTAAAGAGCTGAGTGAGACGCTACGAAGCCTAGGGATTCACATCTCCGACAAGGAGTTGACTCAAATGATGGAGAAGATCGATGTGAATGGTGATGGGTGTGTAGACATAGACGAGTTCGGGGAGCTTTACAAGACCATAATGGACGAGGAAGACGAAGAAGAAGAGGACATGAAGGAAGCTTTCAATGTGTTTGATCAGAACGGAGATGGGTATATAACGGTGGATGAACTAAAGGCGGTTTTGTCATCCTTGGGACTCAAGCAAGGAAAGACATTGGATGATTGTAAGAAGATGATTATGAAAGTGGATGTTGATGGTGATGGTAGGGTTAATTACAAGGAGTTTAGACAAATGATGAAAGGTGGTGGTTTTAGCGCTTTGAGCTAATGTTTTTTTTTTTGTATATGTGTTCATTTCATCTTTTTGTTGTTTTTTACTAAAGATTAATTCATTTCTTCTTTTTTTTGAACATTTTTTTAATTCATTTCTTCTTGCTTTAATCTTATTTATAAATAAATATGAAAAACACAAAAAAAAAAACACAACGCACATGTTTATCAGTACACGGATACACCGCCAACTCCAACAATAAATCAGAAATATGAAATTCTAATTTTAGTTCTTACTTACATCATGCACTTACATAATATGTAAGTATGATGGTCAAAGAGGTTTAGAATTTTTGTTATTTCTGTTTATCGAGAAAATATATATTTTTATTGTTTAAACCATTGATGTAAGCACTATATGAATGTCCATTTATCATGAATGAGTATTTAGCATAGATTAATACAAATTATATAGAACATTTATCAAAAAAATAAATATTTTCGTTGGGTTTACCCACAGATTTTAAAAAATAATATAAAAATATTGTTTTAATGCAATTTCATCATGTAGTGTTATATGATGATGGTCAATGAAGTTTAGAACCTCTGTTATCTTTGTTTCTCTAGATAATAAATATTTTATAATGATTAATCTATTAATTTAATTTAAGTACTGTATGTTTTATTAAATTAACTGTTATAAAGTTAAAATAATATTTGTGTACCATTCATGATTTTAGCATATGGTTATAAAATTTTAAACAACACTAAATTGTAAGTAGATACCTCGAAAATCATATGGTATGTGGTTTAATTTGGTTTTATGTAATAACTATACCGGGTTCTTAACCATCCGGTTATATCAAATTAGACCAGATAGGTAGTCGCTCGATTCATTTCACCGTTCTTCTGTTTCTCTTGACTTCCTCCAGAAAAGTTCATCGCTTTAAACCTCTCTGTGTCTCTCTGAATCCGTAAAGGTATCGTCTTTTTTTTTTCTCTCCTTTGCCTACTCTTTCGCTGGATCTGTTTCCGTCTCAACTCTAACTACATTGGGTCGATTTACTCAAACCCCCAATCAGTTCTCGTTTTGCAGCTCTTGAAATTAGCAAAATCAGTTTTAGACTTTTGTAAATTGCTATCGATAATTACTTACTGTCTCTTAAACTCGTGTTTATGTGTTGAAATTTATGGTTTTGGTTTCAAAATCTGGGGTTTTGGAACAGTAACTGTTTTGTCTAAAATCCATGTTCTTGGAGATTGTTGTAACATGTCTTGATTCACTTATGTACCTGAATCATTCATGTATATGTGTCCGTATAGTTAATAAGCCTGCTTTGCTGTGATCACGTTTAGATTATAAACCTTGTTCTGACTAGTTTAGAACGAATTCATCTAAGCAGCTAGATATGAATGCTTGTTCCTGTTTAGTTTCGGTTTTGCTAAAGAAACTGTTGATTGTTATAGGTTCTGTTTTGATCACTTACCGTGGTGGTTAGTCAAATCTTTGCTAAATAATTTTGGAATCAATGTTTGTGATGCAGTGGTGCAAAGGGGAAATGGGAAGGGAAAAGAGTCCTGGCTTGAAAATCCTCTGGGTCTGGACTATTGGCACTGCAGCTAGTATGACACTCTTCTCTCATTCTTGTTACATCTACCCTTGTTGATTTACAACACTCTATGGGTAGAACTGTCTATGTATCCATGTTATATTTGACCAATTTCTTTTTTTTTTACTTGTTTGCAGTACTGGTGGCGAGTGTTGTTCGTACAAGAATGCATGACATGGAGACGATGATGAACCAGGAACAAGCACCGAAACAAAACCAGAACATTACTGCAGGTCACTCCGTCTTAACTGATGAAACTGTTTTGCCTGAGTCTGATCGAGAGATTGCCAAAGAACTCAAATGAAGAACAAGACTGCTTCTGCTGTTTTTCTTCTTCTTGTTTTCTCCTCTTCCTTTTCATAGTTTTTTGAGTGTGTAGTATGCGACTATCATTAGAAGAGATTCTAGATGTTACATGGAGAAAAATTTGACAAATAAATCGACCAAGAAGCTTCATGAGGAGAGAGATTAGCACAGTTTTGTCTGTGTGAAAAAACCTATAAAAAAGCTATCTAATTTTGTTTTCTTGGATGCTCCACCAAATACTTATTGATTCATCTACCTTAGTAAACCAGAAACACAACTTTTTCATCTCTTAAAAGGTAGTAGTAAATATACGTTTTTATAATATACCAACAAAAATTACTCAATATAGAAATTTCATTAAATGTGTTTATTTCTCTTACAAAATAACAGAAAATATTATCAATAATTTAATTACAATATCTTTTAATATTTCATTTTAAATACATATATATATGGTGAAATATGTATATATTAAAATTCTAATAAAATCTGTTGAAAAAATATACGAGATTTTATTTAAAATTTCCAATATTCTATAAAATAATTCATAGAATTTTTTAATTAGTATAAAATTATTATAAATCATTATTTATTAACTATTTATTATTTATAAACGAAAATTAATAATTTGATGTTGTCTTATATATATTCTATAATCATCTAATATGTTATACTAAAATAAAATAAAAAAATTATCTGAAATTATATACTATGACAAATCATATTACCTTGATAACTAATCATACATTAATTTTAAAATATAAAATTGCATTCATTTAAATTAAAAATAAATAATTTATAATATGTTCTAAAAAGTATTAAAATTAGTAAACTATATAATACGTTTATATGATAGTAAAATTGTTAGCATATCTTAAATTTTTAGATCAAAAGTTATATATAAAAAATAATTTTATGTTTTAAAAGTGCGGATCCAATTTATAAACGAAAGAATCACCAGTTGGCAATTTCTTTAGCTTTGTTTCATGATCACGTCGACACTTATCTAGGTTCGAATCTGTTAGTATTTGATTTGGAATAATATTCCTTTGAGATGAAGAAAAGCCTTAGAATACTGATACACATGCATGCATGCATTCATACATTACTGCAAACAAACATTCATGAATATTTATCATAATTCACAACCATATAGAAATGTTGACTTCATTGAACCTTGAAAGATATTTATATAGAATTTGCATGATTCAAAATGCAATGCGTACCTTTTAAAAGAAGAAAATACCTATAATTATGATCCATTGAACTGTGAAAGCTGTATCAACTACAATTATAGACAAATTGTAAAGAAAATTGATTTTCTTTTGTGTGCAGAAATGTTAAGAAATATTCAACATATCAAAAATATATCTCCAAGGATATGATTGTTTATGATTATCTTTTTTTTTGTGGGTCATATTTTGTTTATGATTATCTTTTTACACTTTTCTTTTTTTAGTGAACATTATATATGTTATATTATTATTTTTTGAACATTTTTTTTTGAACATTATTATTTTTTGAACATTATATATGCTATAATTCCTGAGTAGATTGAAATGATGACTTCAAAAGATTTAAACCCTGTCTCCACTCTCTATGACCCTTATATAAACTACTCAAAACTTCATTCATTTTTCATTCTCTCTATCGTTTTCGCTCTCCGACCTCTCGAACACAAACTCGAACTTGTTCCAATGGCGTCAAACGTAGAGAAAGGCCTCATCGTGAGCTTCGGCGAGATGCTCATCGACTTCGTCCCCACGGAATCCGGCGTTTCCCTCGCTGACTCCCCAGGATTTCTCAAAGCTCCCGGCGGTGCTCCGGCCAACGTAGCCATCGCAGTCACGCGTCTCGGAGGTAGAGCCGCCTTCGTTGGTAAGCTAGGTGATGATGAGTTTGGCCACATGCTTGCTGGAATCTTGAGGGAGAACGGCGTTGAAGATAAGGGGATTAACTTCGACAAGGGAGCGAGAACCGCACTAGCTTTCGTCACGTTGCGCTCTGATGGAGACAGAGAGTTTATGTTTTACCGGAATCCAAGCGCCGACATGCTTCTCCGACCAGATGAACTTAACCTCGAACTAATCAGATCCGTACGTAAATCATTTTTTCTTTGTATGTGGTTTAATGCATGTGGTCCTTTCATAAACATTTTGCTTAAAATATTTTAAATTATAAAGAAAGAGTATAACATAGGCCTCCCTTAACGTTTGGGTTCGGATCAGATTTTTCGGATTTTTGGATTTTCAGAATCAGATAATAACACTTAGAGTTTAGATATATTTTATAATACCTTATAATATTTATTTGGTATTTTTACATTTCACATTGGATATAGATTCGAGTCATTCGGTTTAAGTTCTGTTAGAAAAAGAAAAATTTAGTTAAATTCTCTATAAAACTCCCTTACCTCACCCAAAATTTAGGGGTCGGTCATGCCTAGTATAATACACACTAACCATAACAAATTAATAAACAAAATTTAAGCATGTGTTGGTTGGATATTTTGCTGATTTTTTTTTAATGCAGGCCAAAGTGTTTCACTATGGATCAATTAGTTTGATAACGGAGCCATGTAGGTCGGCTCACTTGAAGGCAATGGAAGTGGCTAAAGAAGCCGGAGCTCTTCTTTCCTACGACCCTAACCTAAGGGAACCTCTTTGGTCCTCTCCTGAAGAGGCTCGGACACAGATCATGAGCATCTGGGACAAGGCTGAGATCATCAAGGTCAGTGACGTTGAGCTCGAGTTCCTTACCCAAAACAAAATGATCGATGATGAGTCAGCCATGTCTCTATGGCATCCCAATTTGAAGCTCTTGCTTGTTACCCTCGGTGAAAAGGGATGTCGTTACTACACTAAGGTAACTTGATTGCTTGTTAATCAAGAAAGCTAAATTTTACTCTCTTGTGCACTTACAAAAAAAAAACACGTTCTGTAGGATTTTCATGGAGCTGTTGAAGCTTTCAATGTGAACGCAGTGGATACTACTGGAGCTGGAGACTCATTCATTGGAGCGTTTCTAAGCCAGATTGTTGATGATCAGTCAATACTTGAGGTTAAACATAGCCCTAGACCTCTCAGTGATCTGTTAGTATACTCTTGATTGTGATTTTCTGATATTTTGTTTTTGTTTTTTTGAATCAGGAGGAAGAGAGATTGAGAAAAGTGCTGAGGTTCTCAAACGCTTGTGGAGCAATCACAACGACCAAAAAAGGAGCCATTCCAGCTCTTCCTTCAGACAGTGAAGCTCTCTGCTTTCTTGAAGACAAGTAGAGACGTTATAACAACCTTTTGAGTCCACAAAGTTGCTGTTGTCTATTGTTATTTTGTTTTTAAATTTGGATCCCTTTCTAATAAAACGAAAGACATTTTGCCTGAGCCATGAATCATCTCTTTCTCTGTTGGTTTTTGGTCTCAATATTAGAGAGTATTAAGAAAAACAAGGACTAGGGTTATCAAATAGAGTATGATGTTTGAGTAGGACACAGAGAGAGGCAGAGATAGAAGCAGGGAAGGAAGTTCCCTCTTTTATTCAAGTTTGTTGTATCAAAGATATAGCAAATACCATACCATGTTCAAGAGGTATATGAACAAACTCAAACACAAACATCTCATAGAGATTCAGACAAAAACGAAAAAAGTGTAATAAGCTCTCAACATAGCTTACTCGACTTATAGATGATGCCATAGATATGACACTGACCCCATGCATCATTCTCCTTATGCAGATAAGTTTCTAGCTTTAATTTTCCATAGAGGAATGTCTACACATAGCTTACATATAGCTTTTAACCTAGATCAGGGACAATGAAGTGCTCCTCATCATCATCATCACCATCTCTGATCTCCAACCTAGGCTTCTTGTATGAAACGTTTGACTTCATTGGTCTGTATGAATGAGTGTGACCCATATGCGAAACAGAAAGCTCGGGAACTTCAGCTGTAGGAAGAGTCTGATCACCGAAGAAACTCATGTCTGAAAACCACTCAAACTCCCCAAGATCAAGCTGTCCTTTCTGCTCAATAAGAAACTCAATAAAAAAAACTAGCTACAAAACAAAGTACCAAGGATTCAACGTATTAATCTCAGTCTCTACCTTATCTGTGAACTCAGGATCAGAGAACTGAAAGAAATCATCAACAGCCCAAGGAAGAGGAGTAGTTTCAGACGAAGGCTGCTGCTGGCTTAGGGTTTTAGCTGGAATCTCCTTAGAATGATGCTTCTTGGTTTCTTTGCTGCAACTGTTTGAGCTAAGAGCCACTTTGATCCCAGTAGCTAAGAACCTCTGGTGATTCGCAGATCTAGAATTAGCTAAATGAATAGATTCATCACAATCCTTGCAAAGCAGAGCTCTATCCTCAACACAGAAAATAAAAGCTGCCTTCTCCTACAAGTCACAAACAACATAATGAGTATACAAATCTTTTTCAATTGCTGTAAGATCAAAAAGTCTCAATAAACTATAGTTCCAGACGAAAGGGAAGAGATGTAACTATTTATCTATAGACTTACTTGGCATATATCGCAACGAGGAAACTTTGTGGAGATAGAATTGAGATGGAGACGTTGGTGCTTGCTTGCGAGTTTGTTAGCAGCGTGAATCTCCACGTCGCATTTAGGACAAAGAGCTGCTTCGTCGGCACAACATATCACCGTCGCTGGAGCATTCTCACACACATCACACTGTATCTTCATCTTATCTTTTTACAAGCTATAGTTCTTGATTTATGGCGTTTAAAATCAAGAATTGATGAATTTGAGAGTAGCTTAGCAGAAATGTAGGTGAAGAGAAAGTGGTTTTGAGATGGAGAAATGTGAAACAATATACAAGTGGTGGTGAACCAAAAGGGGAGAAGAAGATAAGAGATTTTGATGAATCAAAAGGTTACATTTACAGCAAGGTTACTTGGGTCCCACTCTTCTTCTGTGGCTCTCCTTTCTCCTTTCGGTATCTTTCCACATTGGGATACTATTTAGAAAGTGGAATAGTACACGACTCCACATAATCTGAAAAAATGACATTTGGGATATTATTCTTTGGGATGACGACATAATCATGTAACATGCACCAGTAGATGAGATATTTTCACATTTTGTATTCCATTTTTTTGGAAAAACTCATTTATATTTGTAATTTTCGTTTATGTTATGATTATGCCCATACATTCAAAGCCAAAAACAAACGAGATTTTTCAAATAAACGAAAAGAACAAAAGCCAAAGAACTTGAATATGATTAAAAATGATTTGGATTCAAAACCCTAGTTATAACCAAATCAATGAACTTTTTTAAGAGCTTAGGACCATACAAAGAGAAGACTGAACTACCATAAGACAATAATCAAATGCTTCACTAATAACTTCTGAAGACGCACCTCGGGAAGTGTCTTGTTCTCAACTGTAGAGTGCAATGAATCCCAAATCCATGAGCCTCTGATCATGAGCCACAGCTTTGTAATTGGAAAGAAAAAGGAGATTTTCCAAGAGCACCTCACTATAGTACTTGCGGTTAAATCAATAAGTGAAATCTTTTCAATCAAAGAAGTTGGAGTGGGTCCATAAGTTATGGGCCGTGTGGTCAAAAGAAAGGCCCATTCGTAATTTAGAGAGAAGATAAGGATATATCCCATGATCCAATCCCAATTTGATAATTGAATGGGTGCAATACTGCAATAACTCTTCCTCTTACTACCTAATCTGGCAATACTTCAATTTCAGACCTAATTATGGGATCAAATACCATCAACTTCTTAAAGGTAAATTAAGCTTCCAGTTTCAATTTTATTGCAATTTCCTTGATCATATTGAACCATGTGAATGCCTCGTGTAGATTCGCTGGCTCTAAAACCCCATATCATTATTATATACACCACATAACTGGGTCCATACAAACCATATTTAACTACCACTGAGGTGGCAAGACAAGTATACAAAAACATTCTTCTTGTTTAGGCCAAGAATAGTAATTTGGCTAAACTCTCATGTTCAATAAGAATATTGTTAAAACAATTTTACTTCAGAGTTCAAGGGTGGGGCTAAAGCAGGTTTTCCCAAAAACTATATTGATCCTCCGGTTCATTATTGTGTCATGATGATAAAATGTCGTATGCTTTTGCTTATTTAAAATTTAAATTTTTTATAGTCTAGTAAACACAGTAAAAAGAACAGGCGCGAATCAATGGCGAGGCATGGCCTTAAATGATACTAGCAAAACAGACATAATCGGATTGGACACCGACCTGTATTGTATCATTAAAATCTCTGAAATAGAGGAAGTTTCACATTTTCTTCATTGAGATCTGTGATTCAATTCATTTACTCGTTTATGTAATGGCCTATGAGAGGTATAGGTTAAAATCGAATTAAATAACAGTTACATAAATTCAACTTCTGGTGAAGACTAGTTAAAGAAAGAAACAATGGGTATGCCCATTTGTGGTGTTTGCAGGTGCGGCATTGACTTTTTGGCCCCAAGCCTAGTTAATGTCTATTGTAGTTATGATGTTGAAACTACGGCACTGTGGCCTGTGGTTACTCTTCAAATCCTTCATCTACTACAATAACTACACTGCCCGTAGTTTATAAATTATACACATTCTATGTGCAGTTGTGGTTTAAAGTATTTTTAATTAACTCTTGTTTTTGTTTATTTTATTTCGTACCTAACTTGGTGAATTCAAGATTTGTTTGGCTTATATAACCTTTTCGCAGAAATTTTGAATCGAAATATTTGTCCAAAACTAAAGACCACAATGCACAAGAGTATACCAAATGAACACAAATGTGAGTACTTAATCCGATCAGTCGAAGTGTTTCAGCATTAAGTATAACTTTTTTTCTGAAACACTTTTTTTTTAAACACCAGCATTAAGTATACCTGGTTTCGAAAATATTGCTATATTTGAAACAAAAATTGATTTAATTAACATTTCATGGAACCGCCTTAACGTTACATATAAAATAACTTGCCAGTATAGAACGATGCTTAGTAGTTAAAGAACTTCCATGTAGAAAGTAGAAACCAGCTGAGATACACAATGTCAGCTAGTCTGCTTGTGTGAATATTTTTCTGTATATAAAATTTGCATTTAACTCACATAGTACTACTATGTATATTTTTCACCCCGCAAAGTTCGTGTGATTAATGTTTTCGTTGTTACGATGTTGAGAGTACGAAGTTATGGTATGTATGGGTGTCACGAAAAATCTTTCATTCAAAATGAATATAATGGATAATGGCTACATTCCGTGTATAAACATTCACATGGACCAACAAAGTCATTTTCTCATACCTTTTTTGTTTATCTACTCGCAATTTTATTGAGATGCATATATAGTAATTCAAATTTTAATAGATGGCGATGTGTATATAGAATGGATAAATTCAAAGAACATTTTTTTTAGATCAATAATAGATGTGGATATATCGGTTATTTCAAGTTTTTGGTATTTGAAATTTTATTTAGATGGATAATAAAGAATTCCGCTGTTGCTACCATGTTCAAACTTAGAAGGTATGGGTATGTCTTTTTAATGAAGAAATGGGTATGTCATGGGGTTTTTTGAAATAAAAATGAATCTTATTTCAATCATACGAGTATGCTTTTAGACATACACCTGGACATAGTAGTTGAGAGCTGATCTAAAGAAAAATGCATACACATATGTTCCTTTTGTAAAGAGTTTCAAGACCTGAGAATTCACAATTTACCCAATATAGGCACTCGTATTAGGTTAGATTTATTTTATACTCTTGGATGGTTGAATGATGTCCGTTAATACTTTTATCATATATAAGAATTTCTGTGATAAGCTTGTAAGTTTTTCTACATGAGCGTGCTTTGCATTTGCAAATCTCTATTTGACTTCATGTGTTTTTTGAACATTCTGTGATTCTTATTGGAAAACTATATTTGGACAACAAGAAACATGCTACCTTTTTTTCAAAATAGCACACAAATATTGAAATAATATGTTGCGAACACCACTTTTGAATCTACTCAGTTATCTCAATCTCACTGGGTTATATGCATACATGCATTGAACCAGCATCCATACAGTTATAAGAAATACTAAAATAGTTCTTTCTTTTTGCTGGTAACGAATACATTCTTTGTTTTATTTTAAGAAATTATATCGTACATGTGATGTATATACTCCTTTCATTTCTTAATAGATGAAGTTTAGAAGATGTTTGTTATTTCAAAATAGATGATGTTTTGATATTTTTATATTATAATTAATTTTATTGAAAATTGTGTGACTAATTAAATTTTACAGTCATTTATATTATTGGTTGAATGATTTTAAAATTATATTCTTAAAGTTATTTTTTTTTGAAAAAATAAAAATTTTAATCTTTGTGAACAAGGTAAAACATTATGTATTGTGAAACGAGAAGAATATATAATAAACTAAACAGTCAATATCGAGCTCCGTGTCAGCTTTATGCTTCCAGGCATCATCTCTAGCTTCCAATAGCAACAATGTTAACAAGTTAATGGAAGTGTTATGACGACTATCGTCCCAACTGCAACAATATACAGATACGATGGAAAAATGGCTCTAGAGAAGAAATAAACCTATTTAGGTAGTCAGTTTTGAACAATAAATTAAAGAGTAATAAGTTCACACACTCTCTTTCTTACATCAGTTTTCACAGACATAACCTAGAACAACATATCTCAGCTTGTCTCTGTGATTTTAGGAAGCCACAAAAGAATATATATGCATACAAATCACAATCACTACAAGATAAATACGAGGTCTGCGAGATCTTTATGCTTACATAGTTACTTACATGCATCTATCTAAGGATTGTTAAGAAATATTTTTTAACTTATATATAAACACAGCAAGTTAATGTAGCTAGTATTAACGACTACTTCCCAACTGTAACAAGCTAACAATTTACAGACAAAATGAAAAAGGGAGCATGCACAAGGCAATTAGGCCAATGCCTCGTGCCCCACAATTTCTAATCGCGCCTTAATCCCCCTATAAGCTAGGCACGTGTCTGTGCATGCATTAGAGAATAAATTACGGCGCCCGTTATTAAGTAAGTCCACTCTATTTAACTCTTCAACCCTTCACTTCCAAGTTACTATAAATAACAACGATACTCATTCACAACCTTACACACAAAAACCCATCATACAACGATAAGAGTCTTTAAAATTTCATCTACTTACACTTAAAAAATTACTACAAAATGTCAATGTCGTTGGAGGAGGAAAATCACCGGAAAAATGTGGAGGACAAGGCTGGGATGGGGAGGAGAAAGAGGGCAATTTGGGAAAGAAAGTGGAGGAGACTGGACATTGTGAAAGCTTTTTCTTCTCTCTTTGTGCATTTCCTCTGTCTCTTAGCTCCTTTCAATTTCACTTGGCCAGCTTTACGGGTTGCACTCGTTGTTTATACGGTGGGTGGGCTCGGTATCACCGTTTCTTACCACCGTAACTTGGCTCACCGGAGTTTCAAAGTCCCTAAATGGCTCGAGTATTTGTTTGCTTATTGTGGCCTCCTTGCTATTCAGGTTCGCTCTCTTTATTTTCTATTTTTTACACTAATTTAACTATCTTTCATTTTGTTTTATTATTAACATGCATTTTGAACCCTACTGGTTACCAATTAATCAACGATATTAGTACAAATTATTAGGTTACAAAAGTCTTTACTTTGATACTCAATGTCGCAGCACTTTTGTACCTCGTATAGAAACCTTTTTTATAATTCGTCCATACTCAACATGAGTGCAATAACGTCTATCAGAATACTAAATTATCAGATTTAACATGCACCTCGTATACAGAATGACTAAAGCCATTGTCGATCTGTACACCCTTTTAGATTTAATATTTATCAAAATTATTTATGCTATTTTAGCTGCATAGTTAGTATATGAATTCTTGAACAACCTAAAAATCCTTAGTAGTATTATTTAATTCTATCATAATAACAGGGAGATCCGATTGATTGGGTGAGCACACATCGATACCACCACCAGTTTACAGATTCGGAGAGGGACCCTCATAGTCCTAAGGAAGGGTTTTGGTTCAGCCATCTCCTATGGCTATTTGATACCGGTTATCTCGTAGAAAAGGTAAGTAACTATTGTAGGTAATTAACACCAGATTAGTTTACTTGAATCATAATCAAAGTTTAATATCACATTGTAATCTCACAGTGTGGGAGAAGGACAAATGTGGAAGACTTAAAGAGGCAGTGGTACTATAAATTTCTTCAAAGAACGGTCATGTACCACATTTTAGCATTTGGTTTCCTCCTCTATTACTACGGTGGTTTGTCTTTTCTTACTTGGGGAATGGTAATATTTTACTCTCTTGTTTTTTTTTTTCATTTTTTCTTTGAATTACTTGCCAAAAAATTGTGGAAAAACTATATACACATAACTAATGCATTTGTCTATTAATATTAAAAATGATAAATAATTGTAAAAATATTGGCGTATATGTAGGGTATTGGGGTAGCAATGGAGCATCATGTGACTTGCTGTATCAACTCTCTTTGCCATGTTTGGGGAAGCCGAACCTGGAAGACCAATGACACTTCTCGTAACGTTTGGTACGTAGTACAAATCTTTGATCAATAATGATTCATCATGAATGCATATATACTAATGTCATTTCTTTTCGTATATTAAAAAAAATCTAGTCGCTAATTTCAACTTATAAAACTGATTGGTATTTTTTATGTTGGATATATACCATTTATATTTTTTGAGCTGGTGAAGTGAAATATGCCTCAACCAACCAACCATCTCTGGTTGATGAAGATATTAAATATTAGCACATTCTCCTAGAAATCGCTTAATTTAGAATTATTTGAATTGACCAACCCGAAGAAACAATACAACTGTGAGTCTGATATACAGATGATACAATTTCATCTGAAATGGAAACTCAAATGAGCCAATTTCAAAGGCATTTATTAATTTAACATACATAATAAGTACATCTTTTACTGTGTTTGTTTTTGCCTGGTCCATTTCAGTTTACTACCACATACGTTGGTCGAAATAGTGTATTTTATATTTTGAGCATGTACATGTGGGGGTGCATGTATATATTTTGTGAATTTTTCGTGTTTTTTGAATTGGCAATAATGACAACTTATTGTAAAAACATAAATTAACTGGTATAAAATGGTAAATAGGTGGCTATCTGTATTCTCATTTGGAGAGAGCTGGCACAACAACCACCACGCGTTCGAGTCATCTGCGAGACAAGGCTTGGAATGGTGGCAAATCGACATCTCATGGTACATCGTCCGCTTTCTCGAGATTATCGGTTTGGCTACTGACGTTAAGCTCCCTTCAGAGAGTCAACGACGGCGTATGGCTTTGGCTCGTTGAAAAATGGAGAATATTAGCGCGATTCCTCGTTTCCGTTAAGTATACGCTAAAGTCTACGTACGCTTAAAGTTTTTGGTAAACGTAACACTTGTGATGTTATTGTGCTATGCGATGTTTTTCGTTGTCATGTCCTGTGTGGTGTTGGAGGCAACCTATAAGATAAAAATGCAAGGTTTCATTAAATAAAATAGAAAATCAAACGTTTAGGACCAAACCTACTTTGTAGTACTTTTTCTATCAACCATCAATTTCTACGGACCACAAAAAGGGAGCTCAAAACAAAATGTTAATTGCGTTTAACTCTAGCGCGCAAAACTCTAGTATCTACAAACTCCGTAAGCTATTCATATATAGTTACAAATATTCATGCTTGTACATGTGCTTATTATGCTTATCTCGTAATTCTCGGAGTAACAAATTAATCAGGACCGCTACGCAAAACATTAATGGAACTAAGAAAATTGGCCAACCAAATGGCTTTATTTCTTTCATAACTAAATCCTCATTTAAAGCCAATAGGAAAATGCGAGGTAAAGTGTACAAGTATGTTATTTCGTTGTTAAGTAGTGGTGATTACTCAAATCCATAATATTAGGCCTGAATGCACCAACATCATCCCATATAGATAGACAATCAAACATTTGCTGAATCATATATATATCTAAAAAAAAAAACCCATTAGCCGCGATGGGTGATACCACCAAAGAAGATGGCTCTGGCTCTGGCCGAAAAGCTGTGCGTAAGGAAAAAAGATCGTATATCTTTAGGAAATGGACATGGATAGGTGTAATGAAAGCCTTCACTGTTGGGACAGTGCATTTGTTGTGTGTCTTGGCTCCTTTTAACTTCAAAAGGGAGGCTCTCCTATTCGGTGTTATTCTTGCTATGATGTCTGCCCTCAGCATTACGTTCTCGTACCATAGAAACTTGGCTCATCGGAGCTTTAAGCTACCTAATATGGCTTGAATATTCATTTGCTTATTCTGCCCTTTTTGCGCTTCAGGTAAATATCATATTAACTGAAAACAAGCGTGAGACACATATATATACTCAACTATTTCATTTATCTTTTTGGAAAGGGTCATCCAATAGATTGGGTGAGCACACATAGGTTCCATCACCAGTTCTCAGATTCAGAGCGTAACCCACATAGCCCCATTGAAGGTTTCTGGTTCAGTCATGTCTTCTGGATATTAGACAGCAGTTATATCAGTGAAAAGGTAACACAATGTTATAATAAATCTACCCTGGGCTGGCCTTGTGCTAAATCCCATAAACTAGGCCTCTAGACGCCAATGTTATATATAGATGCTAACTCTCTTTAATCAAGTGGCGCTTGAGCTCTAAATATTCTTCATGGATGCAAGTTCGTGTCTTGAGGTCCCGTTCTTTTTTTTTTCTTTTTCTTTTTGCAATAGTTAAAAACTTCTGATACTCTAGATATTATTTGAGAAGTGATTGATTTGGAGTTTTCACCACAATCATTCTAAAAAATAACTGTGACATGACCTAATAAAAATGATGACATAGATCATATCTTATTATGTCATGGTTTAACACAACATTTTGGACACAAAGTAAACTATAGAAATTCAAATATAAAACAATAAATATATGATAATTACCATAATGGAAAAATTATAAGCAGGATATATAAAACAAATTGATGTTATTTGAAACCAATTTTGTTCTCTAGTAACCTGTTAAATGGAGAAGAATATTTTAGAATCATAATTTTAACAGAATAGTAAATTAATCTAATCCATTAGGTTTCTTGATGAAACTGCATCATTATGAAAACAATTTTGGCTTTTTGTTTGGTTTGGTTTAAAAGGTTTTTTTTCAAAAATATTATTGTAATTAGAGGACATTTTAATTGGTTTGTCCAAAAAAAAAAGGACATTTTAATTTTATGGTGTGCTTTAGGCGCCACAACACCTCGGACGCACTGTCTCTACCAAACCAAGATTTTTCTGATAAACTAATGGCTAACTACGTACATGTTGCAACCATGCAAATTAATGTAAACAGTGTGGAGGACGTGACAAGTGATGGACTTGAAACAGCAATGGTTCTATAGGTTTTTACGAAACACAATTGGTCTCCACATCAAGACGTTTTGGACCCTCGTCTATTTGTGGGGTGGCCTAACTTACCTAACTTGCAGCGTGGTAAGAAAGTTCTCTTGTATTAATGTAATAATGTTAAAATATATAAACGAACAAAAAACATGTCATTGATCTAATGAAACTAATTTGCAACAGTGTGTTGGAGGAACAATCAGTTACCACGGGATTAGGATCGTAAACTCGGCTTGCCATATTTGGGGCTCACGAGCCTGGAACACCAAGGACACATCTCGTAACATTTGGTATATACTATCTCTAGTAGATTTTGTAGAGACATAATCCAAAACACCTTAACCGATAATGATATTGAGTAGTACTTGTGGAGTGGTGTAGGTAGCTGGGACCATTCCCAATGGGAGAAAGCTGGCACAACAACCACCATGCGTTTGAGGCCTCGGCTAGGTATGGACTGGAATGGTATCAGGTAGACTTAACTTGGTACCTCATTTTGTTCTTTCAGGCTCTCGGTTTAGCCACTGACGTCAAATTGCCATTAGAAGCTCAGAAACGCAAGTTGACTTTCGCTCGTTAATCTCAACTCTAAACCTATCTATTTCACTTTCAACCTTGTTGTCTTAATTACATGTACTCATCTTGTTATTTATGTAACAGTCAGTTCTCATGAACATGTAAATATAGTCTGTTCAGACAAATTAACTCTAAGTACACTGCACGCTGTAAGTACATGCACCTCGTATACAGAATGACTTAAGCCACTGTCGATATGTTATATGTACACCCTATTAGATTTGATATTTATCAGAATATTATTTATGTTATTTTAGCTACTTTGTCAAGCTTTGAACAACCTAAAAATCCTTTTAGATCCTTAGTATTATTTATCATAAACCATGAACATTGGTTGATACCCATCACCAGTTTACAGATTCGGATAGGTATCCAAATAGATTTAAGGAAGGGTATTGGTTCAGCTATCACCTATGGCTATTTAATACCGGTTATCTTGTAGATAAGGTAATTTGGAGAAAACTAGTACAATAATCACCACGCTTAGAGTCATCTGCGAAACAAGGCTTTGATTGGTGGCAAATCGACATCTCTTGGCTACAGACGTTACGTTAATCTCCCTTCAGAGAAACGAAGTATATATTCATCTTATCGTCTCCCTAAAGTATGCGTTAATTAATGTCAACGTACGCACGCTTAAAGCTGTTGGTAAACGTAACACTTGTTATATTATCGTGCCATGCAGTGTTTTGTTGTCATGTCGTGTGTAGTGCTGTGTTGAAACCAACCTGCTCAATTAAGTTATGTTTATTTTCGTATGAGCGAAACTTATAGTATATGCGTAGTGAAGTTTGGAAACCACCTCGTGACAAAGCCATGACAGTATTGGCTTATTTATAACATATAATACTGTTGCCGTTAGCTTTTTCAGGAAATTAGATTTAACTAACAAAAAACGTTTGACCAAAAAAGCAACAACAAAACGAAAGAAGCGGAATGAACAAAAGCAGGCAGAAAAAATGGTCGCTACCTTCATGAAGAAGGCTATGTACGTATTAGTTACTTTGTAACGAAAAAGTTACAAACTATGATGGGAGAAGCTTTATGATGGCAAAACACAAGGTTACAATAACATTACCAAATAAATTGAAATTAAAACGTCTATGAACCAAACCTTAGTATATAGTACTTTATTTATCAAAGATTGATTTCCTCAAGACTCCAAACAAACCCAAAAATGGAGCTCAAAAATATTTTATTGCATTTAATTCTAGCCCGCAGCTCTAGTATCCAAAAAGTTCCAAAAATGAAATATTAACGCTCTAAATATTAGTAATAAATATGTAGTGAAAATTACCAACAAAGTATGCATTGAAAGTTTATATTCAAATATTAATTGTTGATTAAGTGAATACCCTATAAAGAATATAATTCGTGAATCTGTGATTTCAGAAAATACTTGCTTATAGGCAAACACTTTCGATTTTATTTTCATATTAGTAATGTAGTCTTACTAAACTAAATCCGTATTGGTTATAACACTATATTCATATAATCGAAGATAGTTAATAGATATTATTTTCGATTTTGTTTTCATTTTTGGAACAAATTGAAATATTCGATATATAAAATGTTATCGAAATTTTGATACCCTAAACGTCAAGAGGCATCAAATTGCGTTTTTAAATTTATGACGTAAAAGCATTCGTAAAGTATATTCATATAATAGTTACAAATGTCCATGCTTGTACATGTGCCTAATATGCTTAGCTCGCAATTCTCGGACTAATCAATCAATCGGGATCGCTACGCAATACACTAGTTAATATATAAAACGAAGAAAGTGGCCAACCAAATGGCTTTAATTTTTTTCCTAACTACATTCTCATTTGGAGCCAATAGGCAAATACGAGGTAGAGTGTACAAGTGTATTATCTCGTTGTTAAGTAGTGGTGATTACTCAAATGCATAGCATTAAAGCCTTAATACACCAACATCATCCCATATATATACAATCAAAAATATTTGCTATAAATCATAAAACTAATACCATCTCAAACACACAAACACATTAGTCCTCGATGGGTGATACGACCAAGGAGGATGGTTCTGGCTCTAGCCGAAAAGCTGTGCGTAAGGAAAAAAGAGCTTATTTCTTTAGGAAATGGACAAAGGTCGATGTAATGAGAGCCTCCTCTGTTGGGATTGTGCATTTTTTGTGTCTCTTGGCTCCTTTTAACTTCAAATGGGAAGCTCTCTTATTCGGTGTCATTCTCGCTTTTGTGACTGCCCTCAGCATTACGTTCTCGTACCATAGAAACTTGGCTCATCGGAGCTTTAAGCTACCTAAATGGCTTGAATATCCATTTGCTTATTCTGCCCTTTTCGCGCTTCAGGTAAATATCATTTTAAACCGAAAGCAAATATAAAACCAAATATGTATACTCAGTTATTTCATTTATGGACAGGGTCATCCAATAGATTGGGTGAGCACACATAGGTTCCATCACCAGTTCACAGATTCGGACCGTGACCCACACAGCCCTATGGAAGGATTCTGGTTCAGTCATGTCTTCTGGATATTCGACACCAGTTACATGAGAGAAAAGGTAGCACAGCGTTATAAAATCTCTACCAAACCAAATCAATCTTGATTTTTATGGTTAAATAATGGCTAACTATTGCAACCATGCAAATTAATGTAAACAGTGTGGAGGGCGTGACAACGTGATGGACTTGAAACAGCAATGGTTTTATAGGTTTCTACGAAACACAATTGGTCTCCACGTCCTGACGTTTTGGACCCTCATCTATTTATGGGGTGGTCTACCTTACTTAACTTGTGGCGTGGTAAGAAAGTCCTCGTGTATTAATGTTAAAAATATATAAATGAAAAAGAGAAAACGTCATTCATGTAGTGAAACCAATTTGCAACAGGGTGTTGGAGGAGCCATCAGTTACAACGGGACATGGCTCATAAACTCAGCTTGTCATATTTGGGGCTCACGAGCCTGGAACACCAAGGACACATCTCGTAACATATGGTAGTTACTATCACTAGTAGTTTCTATTAGAGACGTAAACAGAAAGACTAAAACCTATATGCTTAATCAAACCATAACACCTTGACCGAAAATGATATTGAGCAGTAACCATTGGAGAAAAGATTCACATCAAAAAAATTAATAAACAATGTTTTGAAGTTGGAAACCCACGAAACTTAACAATTGCGGTGTAATGGTGTAGGTGGCTAGGACCATTCACAATGGGAGAAAGCTGGCACAACAACCACCATGCCTTTGAGGCCTCAGCTAGGCATGGACTCGAATGGTACCAGGTAGACCTAACTTGGTATCTCATTTCCTTCTTCCAGTCTCTTGGTTTAGCCACTGACGTCAAATTACCATCAGAAGCTCAGAAACGCAAGTTGGCTTTCCCTCGTTAATCTAAGCTACACTTCTATGTATTTCACTTTCAACATTGTGTTTCTTAATGATATGTACTCATCACTTGTTCTTTTGTTATTTATGTAAAACTATTGATGACAATCAGTTCTCATGAACATGTAAAACTTAAATGTTAAAGTACATTGCACATAGGAAACATTATCTAATGTTTTAGCTTAAGATTTAAAATTGTCTTTTGCTTTTCTTATAACACTCAGAGCTTCTGCTTCATCTGCAGTCTCTGGAATACCTAGAACCCGGCGTATATCCATATTCCCAGTGCGGAGAAACGGGTTGCATGCTTTCTCCATTTTCAACGTTGTTGGAATCTGAAATTAAGCAGCCAGAAAGTGATCATTTCAATTCAATCCATTGCAACAAAAGTAACATCAATGATAATAAGGTTTACTGAAAAGGGAAAAGAAAAGATTTACCGTTGGTAACTTCTTGTCACGGAGCTCTGCAACGTAGGCTGCATAAGACTGGAGTACATCGTTAGTTGGTTCTATAGATAACGCAAACTTGGAGTTACTCTTGCAAAATCAAAAACCATTTAAATGTTAGATGAAACTCCACATGTTGTGGTATTTGGTATATGTAAATCCGCAATAATGATTACAAACCAGTGTATATTCATGACCACAATATATGCTTGTGTCATCTGGCAAAGCAGCTATCCTCTGAAGCGAAGCTAGCATCTGCAGAACAAGATGCATATTGTTTTAAAAACAAATTTCAAAAACTGTTAAAAAATGCAATGCTCTGGCAAAGCTACTATGAAAGAATGTAGAAATGATGCATACCTGCTCTGGAGTGCCTTCGAAGAGCTTACCACATGATAAGCTAAACAAGGTGTCGCCAGTGAAAACTGCTCTTGCTCCTGGAAAGTAGAAACTAATATGGCCTACAAGCAGAGAACAAGACTTAAAAGTATACTTCATCTAAACACCAAAGACAAAGGAACTACTTCAAGATATGTCCACAAAAGTATTAAACCTACTATCAAGTTACACAATTCTTGAAAAAAAAACATGATGTAGATAAACTGAAACACATTAGAATACAGATAGAATAAGTGAGCTTTGAACCACTCTAAAGCAGGAATATACTGTAACCAACCTATTGTGTGGCCAGGAGTTTCCATAACATGGACTTCATGGCCAGAAAACTCCCACTTATCACCATCCCTCAGAGCTATATCAATCCCAGGAATCCGTTTCCTATCTACAGCTGAGCCAACCACCTAAGTATATGCCAGGTTATAAGTTGCAATTACTTATAAGTTATAACAAGAAAAGTGTAGAATGGGATTACCTTTGCACCATACTTGTCTTTTAATTCCAAGTTACCACCAGTGTGATCATAATGGTGATGTGTATTCAATATATACGTTAGGTTTCGACCATTCTTCTTCAAGGCATTTATAACAGGTAGAGATTCAGAAGGGTCAACCACACCAACTGTACCAGTATCCTCGTCGTGTAATATATAAGCATAGTTGTCCGCAAGACATGGCACCTGCAAAAAAAAAAAAAAAAAAAGATTACGAAAGCCAAAGTCACGTTTAATCAGACACAGAAGTAAGCAAGAAGACACAAAACCAGTTCAAATTGCAACGAGGAGGAGATATTGGAGCCGGTACTGCAGAATCTTGACACGTGGACAGATCTACCAGTATTGCAGAAAGTCTTAAGAGGCGAGGAGAACAACTTCGTCACACCAAAGGCAAGACCTTTTCTGAGGCTAAGCTGCTGTCTCACGCATGGCTGAGAAACAGAACAAAACAGAGTTTTGATCAAAGATATGAACAACAAGATTCATATAAGAAAATCAACAGCAAAGGGTCTAAGCTTTGAGTGAAGCTTATATTCATAACTCTGAAGCTATCACAATACATTAATAATAAAGCAGAAAACAGCTTTCTTTCTGAGACTATAATCATGAAACTGAGAGAAAAAAGACTAGAGGAACTATCCAACACGAATTTAAAGAGGGAAAAGAAATACGAACCCTTGAACATCGAAACAAGGAGGCCGCAGAAGATATTTTCGAGATAGCTTGCATCTCTTTCTCTCAGTCCTCAGAACTCTTCTTTTGCTCGATGCCACTGTAGAGACAGAGAGAGAGAGAAGAGATTTTTCGTGAACGTTCTAACAGCAAAAACCGACCCAATCTCTACCTTTATTAAACCAAATCAAATTAAACCAAACCAGTAACCGTAAAATTAATAGTGAGCCACTTAACCGGTTTGTATATAAAAAAGATAGATTTTGCCGTCTAAAATTCTATGAATCACCAAAGCCAAATTCTATGAGGTCTGGCCCAGTGGTCAGGGGTTATGCTAATCATTGAGCCAGTCATTTCACTAGCCAGTTGAGTTGTTTAATGTTATTATTCAGTTTTAGCTAGTAGATCTCACTAAACTAGTTCATTATATATCTTTTTCAAACATGAAAAAATAATATTTTGTATATTTTCTTGCAACTTATGTAAAAGATTTAGTAAATTTGACAAGATATACGCGCTTTTTAGCATTGACATATAGCATAATTTAAGTTTTTCAATATATAATTCACATTAAACATAACGTAGACAGCACGCTTAAATCAAACGTTGAACACCATTTCTTTTTTTTTTTTTTTGTAGGTGAGACAGTCAAAGTTAAAGACCATATATATTATATATTATATGAGATACTGAGGAGAAAAAAATCCCAAAGTCAAGCAATGAGATGTTAACCAAAACTCGCTATATATGTGTCATTATCGAATTAAAATGAAAACCCATGCAAACTAAAAAAACTAAACTGCATTATAACAAAACTTACGTCCCAATACGTCAAAGAAGTTTATCAGTTTCTGTTACCTTTGGACTAAAGTTTATAAGGAATAGGAAAATGATGAAAACACATGTTAACATGATGATGATCGTTTTCGTTGTTTCTTGAAATGCATTCGGTTCATGTTCCAGATACTGCAAAGTGATTCGGTCAGCGCGTCGGGTTAAAGTGGTTGCACCAACATTCCATGGTACACGTAGTTGCCATGGTTAAGCAGTGGCCGATCACTTGGTCCTTCATTCATTAAGATAGTGTTTTTTACTGGGATCAGATATCAATCCCGAGGTGAAAACCGTCTTGCAATGTATAACATTTTTTCAGCCGCAATTAAATATAAAATTATGTGTCCAGTAAAACATTAAAATGCTAGTTTTAGAGATTCTATGTCTCAATTGCTATATGACAACTCAGCCTAGGCAAATAAATAATTGAGCCAACAGTTAATGTCATACGTCAAAATCCAGTTTTCACAAGTTGAAGTACACCAATTTTTCCTATGCATGAAAAATATAATTCGTCTGTTATTTCTTCAAAACTTCTTTCATGCAGCCGCAATAGTTGATCTACCCGCTCTGTTCATTAGGGAGAAAAACTTGTCTTAGATTTAGAAATTTTTTGGCTTACATTATATCAGATACATCAGACAGAAATGCTTTAAAAAAATGATAGATGTTAAAAAAAAATGATCAAATTTACATGTTATTTTTGACCAATGAAAAAAGTTACATGTTTAAAGTTCATAAACAAAAAAAAAAAGAATAACTAATCTCATCAAGTAGCTAGCTTTGGTGCAGCTGATCTTGCAGAGATAATGAATACATACACTTGCTTTCACAACAGCTCCACTAAAGATAAAGCCACTACACAAAATTATATTTGTGTTTATTGGTTTAATTAACCTTAAGAAATAAATAAATGAAATAACCAATATGTATTATCAGACTAACGTGACGGCTCAGCCGCCGTGGAACGACCATTATGTCTAACGTGACGGCTCAGCCGCCGTGGCATGTTCCCGACCCATTTGGGTTGTTGGTACAACCGTTTGGACCTGAGGGTGGCACCGTACCTCTTTGCAGCAACTGGAGCACGAACTGGATCTCACCGTCGGCTCGGAATGGCCTAGCTGCTTCGACTGGTGTGGTAGCCAAGAAAATCACCACGAGACCGAGCAAAATCACTCCAACTATCATTTGCCTCTTCATCATCATTATCATTTATCACTTGTTTCTTTTGAGTGTTTTAAAGAAAAATAATAATATTATTTTTGGGGGTTTGGTAGTAGAAGTTGTTGTATGTCTTTAACTCCCTGTTTGATGTGTATCACATTTAGTTCGATAATGACCTATATATAAGGTTTCGATTATGGTGTTTGTTGTTTGTTAAATTGGTAGCTGTGTGTGACTTTGGTGCTCTTGGTCTTACTTTGATATTCTTATGGCTTGACTTTTACTAGGAACGACTTGGTTTTCAAATTTGAACCAAACTATACGAATTGATCAAACAAGTTAAGATATAAACACGCTTATTGCCTTGGACCGCAATGTATATAACAAGTTAACATGCAAAAAAAGGTGATAAGTCAAATCGCTATACCGGTTACACCGTTAATTAATTGGACTCCGGTCCACTTCGTACTCGATGATTGTTATTTAGCTTTAGATCATCTCCAATATATTTTGCTATTTTCATTTCTAAAATAGAGTAACTTTATAATAGAAGTAGGATATACTCTAATGTATTCTTCTAAAATAACAAGCTTTAAATATAGAGCAAAAAATATAGGAATGTTATTTCTTCTATAAATAGAAAAAAAAAAATAGAAATTTCTATTATAGAGAAAGAAATAAAAATGAATTGAAGCAATTTTATCTCTAAATGCCATTATTGAAATAAAAATAGCAATGAGTTAGAGAACAACAGGTTAAACTTTAGAATTGTCGTTAAATCAAACGTTTAAAAATAAAATAAAATTTGTATATAAATCGACTATTGTTTCTTTGTTTTATGTTGGTCAACTATACTATTGATTCTTTATACTTTTTCTTTTTTGGTTTTCAAACCCTATTTTAAACGTTTCATGACGTAGATTCACATTCGATTTTGGAGGTCAGGATAACATGTCATTCACCTAAAAACCGAAACCACTAAGCAAATGAACTTGGAAAAATTCAAATGTCTCATAAAGCGAAAGATATATTCAAATAGAAAATGTCAAGTCACAAGTTTGATTCAGTCTTAACTCTCAAAGACTCCACCAAATAAACGGCAAGTATGTAACATTAATACATACGGTCTGTACATGAATCAGTATGCAACTCTGTGTCTTATAAAGTATATATTCATACATCCAAATCCTGAAAATTTCATGAAAATTCTAAACTCACAAACATCCGGTGGTAGGGTCTAATGAGTAGCTTTTAGTAACTATTAATATACATTATTAGCTTCCTGCACGTATCCAGCTAATCCCATCTGGTCATATATATTATCAAGCAACAAGTAAACCTCATCTGAAGCAGAGTGAGTTCTATCAGCTGCAGCAAACATATGAACTCGTTTATCCAACTCAATCCAACTTGTCCCTGGACATATCTTTTCTATACCCAACTCTCTCATCCTTCCTCTCACCTCAGCAACATCTCTCCACCTGTTTTCTCCTGCATACATGCTAATTAAAAGAGAATAGTACCCACTATTCCTTGGCTCAAGAACCATCAGTTTCTTAAACGCTATCTCAGCTATCTCTAAGTTCTTATGAAGTCTGCACCCATCAAGCAACGCCCCCCAGATAACAGCATTTGGTTGAAAGTCCATACTCTCAATCAATTCTAGAGCCTCTTGAATCAACCCAGCTTTGCTGAATAAGGCAACCATGCATCCATAATGTTCAATATTAGAGACAATAGAGTATTCTTCACTCATGCTGCGGTATACCTTCTGACCTTCTTCTACAAGACCTGCGTGAGTACACGCAGTTAAAACACTCACGAAAGTGACTGCATTAGGTTTAACCGATTCCATCTCCATCTTGCCAAGCATTCTCAATGCTTCTCGTGCATAACCATGAGCTGCTAACCCTTCAATAATCGAATTCCAACAGAACAGATTCTTTTTAGGTAAATTAAAGAACACAAGAAGCGCTCGGTTCAAGCTACCGCATTTGGAATACATATCTACAAGTGCTGAACCAATGTAGACATCAAGAACAAACCCGTTCTGCACAGTGTACATATGAACCTCTTTACCTATATCCAACACACCAAGATGCGCACAAGCTGAGATAACAGTTGACATAGTCACTTCATCAGGCACAATCCCTTCCTCAGTCATTTTATAGAACACTGAGATTGCTTCTCTATACCTTTTGTTACACGAGTAACCTTTGATCATACTTGTCCATGTGATAATATCCTTCACAGGCATCTGATCAAACAAGGACTCAGCTACTTCCACATCACCTAACTTCATATACCCATCAATCAAACAGTTCCACGTAGCACAATTCTTCTCAGACATTCGGTTAGCTAAAGCATTCGCAGAGTCCATATCAAAAACTCGTACATAAGCATTAACCATCGTAGTCCAAGTAAAATTATCTCTCTCAGGCATTTCGTCGAACACCTTCCTCGCATCCCTAATCCCACCCAAAGCAGAGTAAAACACGATTAAAGTCGTCTGAATCTGAACATGGAAACAAAACCCAAATCTCCATATATGCGCGTGGACAGATTCACCAACCGCACGATCGAAAAGAGACGCCTTTACGAGAGAAGAGTAAGTATAGCTCGACGGAGAAACAGAGTCTCTGAGCATCCTAACATAGAATTCTAGAGATCGAATTGGGTGAGAGCAAGTGAGGAAGCCTTTAATCAACGCGTTGTAGACGAAGACGTTGGGCTCTTGCATCTGGGTCATGGAGGAGACAGCGAGATCGAGGCGGTTGAAGGAAGTGCAGGCTGTGATGAACTGGTTCATAAAGAAACAGTCTTGGTTTTGGCTGGTCTTGACCATTGCGGCTAGAGCAGAGTCTAGGAGCTTGGGGGATGTGCATTGTTTGATTAGTTGTAGAATTGGGAGAGTTTCGAGAAGTGAAGTTGAGCAACGTCGAAGGGTGGAGATGGTGGAGATGGTGGTCAGAGCATTCATGTAGGAATTTAAGGTTGTCGGTAAAGATGATGATGACTTTGTAAGAAGAAACGGAGACAAAGAGACTCTGGGAGAGACAGAGGGTTTAAACTTCGTCAACTGTCAATTAAAGAGAGGGAAGTGACTGTGCTCGTGGTTACCTGTTTTAATTAGAAGGCCTTTCGGTTTAAAGAGAGAGAGTCCAGTCCATCACGTGCTTTACTTTGTTATTTTGGGCTTTTTGGCCCTACCATTTTTAATATGTGCTAACTACAAAATAAATAGTTTAAGTAAGCTATATATATCAGTTGCTCAAGAAAAAAAAAGCAAGCTATAAATCTATATAACAGTAACTGATAAAATTTACCATTTCATATATTTAGCTTCTAATTAAATATCTTTTTATAAAAACTATCTGATTATTGTGATTAGTTAGTTACATATAAAAAATTGTTCGATTTTCTTTCTCTTTACTTATGTTTTCATTTAGTAGATCTCTCAAACATTATTTACAAAGTGATTTTGACACATATTCTCTCTACAATTAATTTTACTAAACAAATCTGACATACCAGAGTAGAATTGGTGTCATTTTTGACATGAAAATTACAATTAGTGTTGTTTTCTATTTCAGTAAACTTTTTCAAATATAGTAATAAGCCATATATAATCATTAAAAATAAATAGATTTAAATATGATATTAAATTATATATATTTTACAAAATTTTAAATATTATTTAAATTTATTTTAAAACTCAGAATTTTTATTGCTAAGTAAAATTTTCAGGATTTTATATAACATTTTGAAAATAATAAATCATAATATCATTTGTTTCTTTTTGACATACAATTTTAAAAAAGATCTATTTATTTTTTCTTATTATTATCAAAATTATAGTTTATATCAATTTTTTTAAAGAACAAATTATACAAGTTAATTTAATATATTCTAACCAAAAGAAATAAATAAAAATGTATCTAAGATTATAGCTATATATATTCTCAAATATAATTGAAAATAAATTAAATTGTTTATTTTATCTTAATTTTATGTATAATACTTATATTAAAATATTGGTATAAAAGAATAAAATCTAAAATATTTACAAAATTTTATTTCTAAATATAAGTTAATTTTTTTAAAAATGTATATGTAAAACCCGCATTTTTCCAAAATAATAAAATAAATAAAACTGTCTGAAATCTCCATTTATTAAATCGCATAAATCGTCTCCAAACTCCATAAATCCAAATAACATAATAAACCTCAAAATAACGATAAAAATAGGTCTGAAAATAAATAAATAAATAAAACTCCCAAAAGCACCAATCCGAAATGATCACTCCTGATCGTCAGTATCACCTGAAATGAGGGAAGAGAGAGGAGTGAGTAACAGGGGAGTCACTCAGTGAGGTATGGGATGCTAAACACGCAAAACACTGACTTGAGTAAATAGAACTCCCACTATGGAAGTTTAGCTCTAACATGAACAATCAAGACACCTAAAGCATCACAAAGAACAAACAAATGCGCTGATAGTGCATAGCTAGACCAAACACCACGCATCTCCATATATAGATATATATCATACGCTGCGTCGCTAGTACAGTATGTCTCTGTACCCCCGCCCTCCAAATCTGCGTCGAATGCAAACGTCTCTGCACCGCGCACCACACAGTTGCGTCGCTAGCCCAGACGTCTCTGAGCCCCCACCTTCCAAAGTTGCGTCGATAGTCCAGGCATCCATGAACCCCCCCTCCCACATAGTCCCTACTCATAACTATGTATGTACATATATATATATCATCTCTTAACATCACACAATCCAATCAACGGTTGAATCCTCTAGACCCCTAGTTCCAATTTACAATGAATGAACTAACTAGCAATCAAGACTCACACAGACTCAATTCACACAAACGGATCATGTTTTGAAATCTAAACTACGATAGGAAGAATTTCATACTGGTACGGGAGTTACGGATTAGACCCTCACTTTGCCACGGGTTCTGAAGAAAACCTGAGAAAACACTGAATGACCCTGACAGCTCTAAAACAGCAACTCCGGAACTCTCTGAAAATAGATAAATGTGATGATTCTTGCAGAACTGAACACTAGAGATAACAAATCAATAACTCAAGAACTAACCGTTAACTTTTCA